ATATGTAATAAAAATTATTTATTTTTTAATAAGAAATTAAGATATTAAATTATTAAATTATTTCAATAACTTTGTTAAATTTAAGCTGTGATTAAAGATAAAAATTTAAGTGAAATCTAATAACAAAATTAATTTATGTTGTTGTAAAAAATATTTAATTTGCTTTTTATAACCTTACTAACGAATCTTAGTGTATATCTTACTATTAAATAAAATTTTATGAAGTAGTCCAAAATTGATATACATATTTAATTTTTTCAAAGTACGATCCGTAGAACCGATCCTCTTTACTTATAACATTTCGAAACAAATACTCTTTCTCTATTAAATTCATGTACCTATTTAATATAACAAAGTTTTCAAGTACATTGTGAAATTAACTTTATTTGCATGTTTTAAATTAATAAACCTTAAAATAATAAGTAATATAAGCAATAAATGTAAATCTAATAATAAATTCAAAATTAAAATATAAATACAAAATCATTTCTTCAATAAAATATTTCGTATTAAGACCAAAATTAATACAAATCAGTTTTTCGTACTATTTTGCTGCGATATTTGTCATAATATTGTGCGCTTTTAAATCATCATTTCACACAAATGTGCAGAGACATTTCGTCTCCGCAGCTGCAAACTGTAAATTCCCGGAAGATAGTAGTAAGTCTTGCCGAAGATGTGGTGAGGAAGCCCATTTTGCTGCTGCATGCAGCAAGGACAGCAAATGTATTCTATGTGGAGGCAAGCACGCTGTTGGAAACGCTCGCTGTCCAGAGTTCAAGAAGGCGGTAGACAAAGTGCGCAAATGAGGATTGTGCAAATCAATCTGAATCACTGCAGGACGGCACAGGACCTGCTTTCCCAATCGGCTTACGAGCGAAATATGGATATAGCTCTACTGTGTGAACAATATCATGATGTAGGAAACTCGTCGTGGCTTTCAGACTCCTCCGGTAAAGCAGCAATATGGAGCGCAAATGGTAGGGCCTTTCAATGCTCTACTACAGTCAGCCGACGTTTTTTTACCTGGGTCAAGGTAGATGAGATATTTTTGTTCTCTTGTTATGCTCCTCCTAGTCTGGACTTACAGGAATTTGAGCAGCTACTCTCTGAAATCGTGACAGAAGCCAGGGGCAAGTCTCCGCTTATCCTGGCCGGCGACTTTAACGCTTGGTCTACTTTCTGGGGTAGCAATCACACCAACGCTAGAGGAAGAGTGCTCATGGAATGGTTCTCTCAACTAGATGTTGTGCTTCTGAACACTGGCGAACATACATTCGAAGCAGGCCGGAATCGGTTTGCCATCGACTTGACATTTGCTCACGACACGATAGCACAAAGTATGAAATGGTCAGTTGGAGACATCTATTTGCATAGCGATCATCGCGCAATTATCGTCGAACTCTGCACACCACCAGTGCGTAGTAGAAATGTCTGCTTGAAACGTAGATGGAAACATCGACTCTTCGATGAGGATATCTTCAAACTGGTCTGGAGCGATAACGTGGAGTACCCAGAGTCTGCTGCTAGCATGGCGCAGGCGGTGATCTCCAAATTAATTGCAGCGTGCGACGCGGCAATGCCCCGTGCGTCATGTAGACCAGCTAGAAAACCAGCCTATTGGTGGACTGAAGAGATCGCTCGTTTAAGAGGCGACTGCATCAGAGCAAGGCGCGTCGCTCAACGAAACCGTAACTGCG